CCCCCCCCCCCCCCCCCCCCCCCAGTGCACAAATTTTTGTGCACTGGGCTTCTAGTACATATATATAAAAGGCTAATATGCAGTGTCCCCTTTGGAGTTCAGTTGCTCCCTATGACGTGTGCTGACCACTAGGGGGTGGTGCAGAACTAAGGAAAGCCCCAGCTGGCAGCTGGGGAGTGAGGGAAGGAAGGAAGGAAGGCAGGCAGGCAGGCAGGCAGGCTGGCCCCGATTGCTGGCCAGGCCTAGGGACCCTACCCGTGTGCACCGGGCCTCTTGTTTTTAATAAATACAAACTTAATATTGTTGATTAGAATTTATGAGAATGCTGTAAAAACCAGGTTTATGGTCAGGTGGAAACCAGGACAGATACTTAAGAGTGAAAGTGAGTAATGGATTCAATAAACTTTATAAAGCAATAATTTCATGCCAAAACCGGTTTGGCTCAGTGGATAGAGCGTCAGCCTGCGGACTGAGAGGTCCCGGGTTCGATTCCGGTCAAGGGCATGTGCCTGGGTTGCGGGCACATCCCCGGTGGGGGATGTGCGGGAGGCGGCTGATCGATGTTTCTCTCTCATCGATGTTTCTAACTCTCTATCTCTCTCCCTTCCTCTCTGTGAAAAATCAATAAAATATATTTAAAAAAATAAAATAAAGCAATTATTTTAGGACCATGACTCGTTCTGTTTTTGGCTAGGAGGGATAGGCAGCCTCATGGTGAAGCAGAACACTAATGATTCCTCTTTGAAGCCATGCTTAAAATACTTTGCATGACTGTCTTCCTTTAGGTAAGCTAGCATCTGAAGATTTAAGTCAATCTGAAGTGGTTTTAAAGAATGGGGGGAAAAATAGTGCATCTATCCTTTCCCCCTTTTTCTTATTATCATCTCTCAATGTTAAGCATATAGTGAGTGATTGGCTAGAAAACTACAAGGTAAAATATCCATTCTCCTAAATGTTTGAAAAGCAAGGACAGGGTATTTATTGTGAATGCAGAGTAAGTACAAGAGAAAATTTAGTAATATACATGCCAATGAAACCTAGAAAATACATGATAATCAGTTCTATTTGCCCTGCCTGAGTTTCTCAGTTGGTTAAGCATTGTTCTGTGCACTGAAAGGTTGCCAGTTCAATTCCTGATCAGGGCACTTTGCATATTTCTTAAATTGATAGCTTTGATCTTAAAATACTGTAGGTAATTTCCTTCCTTTCTTCTTTCCTTCCTCCTTCCTTCCCCTCTCTCCCTCTCTCTCTTTGGTTAATACTCACCTGGGGATATTTTTCTTTTTAAAAAAATTTTCATTTAATTTAATTCCTTTATTGTCTAAAGTTTTACATATGTCTCCTTTTTCCCCAATTGACACCACCCTCCCCCAGCCATTCCCACCCCGGGTAAGCTCTCACCACCCCAGGGGCTCAGTGAT